TTTTGTCCTCTCTTTGGAGAGGGTAAGCGGGCAGGATAGCTCTCTTACCTGCACTTGTGAGAAATGGAGATGGGGTAGGTTGGGGACAGACGGGGAGCAAAGGGAGAGTTTGCCTGGGTACCTGTTGAGAACTTTGGTCACTGCTACTCTGCGCCATCCTCGAAGTTCTTCATGGCTCCAGAGCTATAAATAGCCTCAATTTAAACAACTAAGAGGCTTTGTGAGTGAGCGGACTGCTGGAGCAGCCAGCATGGAAAGCGGATGGGCAGGACTGGAAGCCTCAGGCAGATGAAAAAGCATACTATGCTGCCAACTCCTTGGCACTGCACACTTTCTTGAGCAAGACACTATTCCAGCTGCCGCATGCTTGGTGAGAACTGGCAAGCAAATAGTTACAAGCCCAATGTTCCCATCAAGCAGGTATCCACGACAACCTGCAGCATCATTACTCTACCAAATCCCAGCTGAACTTCGATGCCACAACAACTTCCAAAGGGAGCACAACCTGCACATGGATGTATTTGCCTCACTGCAGCACCTGGGGAAAACAAGCTCCACTCTGGTGTGATGAACAGGCATGTCCTGAATATCAGAGCTGCTGTTAGTACCCTTGTGGTTTGGAAGAGTGGTCTCTTTTTCCTGCCTCATCCCTCCTCTGTGGATATAGAGTCAGAGCAGATTTTGGTTATCCCCAGCTTTTCCACAGCCACACGTCTCTGTTCTTTGCATGGAGGTTTTGGAGGGGAGTTGGACCAGCTGGACCCCAGACAGCCCTTCCAACCTCAACCAGTCTGTGATTCTTGAAAGATGCAAAATCAACTCTCTGAGCACACCCAAATCCAAGCAGGTTGCTGATAAAAAACAAGGAACTGTGCCTGCCCCAACCCCAGCTCTGTCAGGGTAACTATACTCCAAAGAGCACAGATGCTGGCTCGCTGAGGCTGTCAGACCTCCTGAGGCTGATGCCCGACCTGAGGTCCGATGACAGAAAACAGAAGCAGGGAAACCCTGCAGAGTCGCGTGATGCTTTATCAGTAGCTTTTCTTCCCAGACATCTCAATTCTCCTCTGGGCCTTTGTTTCCCCAACAAGAAACATCCTCCAGACACCAGTTCCGCTTATGCTGCACTCGGAGGTGAAGTGCCACAACACAGGAGGGTGGAAAGGAGCTGCACACAACAACATTCCCCCTCCATACAGCTCCCTGCCACTCATCGGTATGCCAGTGTCCCATTATTAACATCTCCACCAGCCTCAAGATGGTCAAAGGCCCTGAGGCAGGACTGTGTGACGCTACCCAGCAGTTTTGACTTGCTGCTTTTCAGGCATTTAAGCCACGGGGTTCACAAATCATGGATGTCTCACTCTGGGTTTCTCTCCAGAAGTAAGTGGTGCTTCTGGGGAGCCGGGGGGTGGTACAGCAAGTGCCCTCCCACCAGCTGCCAACAACAAAAGCAGGTCTCCTCGCCTCCCTCTAAAAGCAGATGGATTTATATATTTTTAGCATTTAAAAACAAAATAAAGGAGTCTGTTCTCCCTTCACAGTCATTGAGGCCCAGAGGTATTTCATTCTGAAGAGGCTTTTATAGAAGAACACAAAGCCTTTGCAGAATGCTGTGGGAAACTCCATAAAATGCATATTCTCTGGAAAAGGAAGGAGCTCGGAGAGCTTCGGCCAAACCGAGTGGTGGGCAGAGACACTTAGATTCAGCTGCACGGATCTTGCAACACTTTCCCCAAAAAGCCTCTCCTGAGCGAAGCAAACTCAAGCAGTTCTCAGTTCTCAACAGGACCCTGTTGTCCCTCTTTACAAATTCTGGGGAATAATGACTAGATGAACAGAAATACTCCCTTAAATCTCTTCTGGGAGACAGTTCAGTGCCCTAATTCCCTCCTAACACCTTACAGTTGTGGAAGGGTGCACACTGGAGAGGTCCCACCACCACTTCCAGCAGCAGCAGGAGAAGCCACCACGAGCCATGGTTCCCAAACCATTCAGTTGCAGCAACCGCGGCAACGGAGCTATGTCCTACTGCCAGCACCCAGACTTGTGGCACTGCACCTCGCTGCTCTCAATTTCATGAAGGGTTTGCCATGTCAGGAAGCTCGGCCATGATGGGTCTGCAGGCTCAGCTGAACGCTCTCATCCAACAACAGCCCAGGCCAAGGTACATAAGCGTACGAGCAAGGAGGAGGCCAAGGAGACATGTAACTAAGCCAGAATTTGTCTGGCTACACACAGCTACCAGGGATGTATTTAAAAACAACATCTTTGCCCTAAGCAGAGATTTTTAGCAATAAGATCCCTCTAACTAACATGCATATAACACTTGGTATCTCCAGTCTTTAAGTAGCTATGTCCTCCTGGTACAATGGGGAAGGCAGGGACATGCTCCTGTTTAAAAGGTGGGATGTTGACACACAGAAAGAGCCTGCAGAGCCTGGTCCAGAAGAGACCAAGGACTCAAATCTGGATGTCATAAGTCTACTGCTTCTACCATTAAGGCCCTTTTTCTTCTCCCTCCTGTCCACCTGTCTTTAGCAGACAGGGAACTCCAGACCACCAGCCTCACCCAGATAATGCAGCCTCCTCCCAGCTTCTAAAATCTCGAAAGCCAAACAGCACTGATTTATTCCCACCCCACCATGAGGGAAGCCTCCCCCAATTCCTCCACCAAGTACAAACCAAAGTCACTTGTGAAGTACTTGCATCCCCTGTTCTCCTGCCAAGGAAGGTCTGCTGCATTCATCCCCATGACAGACCAGAGCAGGCTTGGCTCTGTACTGCTCTAGAGCAGCCAAAGCATTATCAGCTCTGAAGGCAGCCACAGGCAGGGACTGGAAACCAGCAGGAAAAGCAAAGTCTATCCCAGAACTCCTGTCCAGCCTCAAATTGACTCCCCAGTACTCCACTTCCTTCCTGTGCTACAGGACTCCAGGGACAAGGACATTCAGAGGCAAGGCTACCTACCCTGACTTGTTCAATACTTACTTAATTTTTTTAAAGGAATGTATTTATCTGTTCCTCTCTGGAAACCAATCATCTGCTGCTTCTTCACCCTGTTGTTTCACCCGTCTCGCCATGGGAACTGCGGGTACTTTGATGCCTGACAGCCTGGCTGATCTCAGCAGGTCTTTTGAACCCACTTCCATAATCACTGCCTAAAGCGAGCTCTTCCCACGCAATTCACTGCTCAGTGAATCACGGCCAGTCATTTTCCTGTCTCCAGGAACCATGCGGCACTTAGCCGGGATGAGTTCTCTTCTCCCTTTAGCAGGGGAAATACATAATTATCAGAAAAACCACTCCTGTCCTAACAGGACACTGGCTTTATCTGCACCAAGACCGGCAGTTCCTGTTCTTGCCCCAACATCCGCTCCACCATGAGGGCTGGTTGTTCAGGAAATTTATTTCCACATGTCAAGACTTCAGTTAGTTTCTCAAGCTCCTCCAAGCTACAGACTTTGAACCATGAGCATTCTCAGCTGGCATACACGAGGCTGCAGAGACACAACCTTTTCAGTACCCAGTGCCAGCTTTGCACTGGAAGCTCCTAAATCTCAGTGATGGCTGCACATGGGCATACAGGCGTATTCATCTGTGAGCCATCGACACATTCCCCAACTCTTCAAGGCAACAGAGGAAAAATCAGCAGTCCAGAAGGAATAATCCTGCAGGAAGGACCCAGCTCTGTTTGCAGGATCCCTCTAAACTAGAGGGGACAAACCTACACAGCACAGATCACCGACCAGAACTGTGGACCAGCCACAAAGGTCGGTACACACAGCAATAGATGTTGGGAACAGCACAGAATAGCCTTTTTAAAGGCCTCTTGGGCATTGCTAGGAACTCAAGCCCATGATTGAGAGCCAAGACAACAGCTAATTGGTTTCACACTGTTACCAGCTCAACAAGGAAACCCAAGACAGGGCTACAAAGGAGCAAAGCATGACGTTGCTTGCCTCAGAGTCTCCCGGAGTCGTGCACCAGACACCGTGAAGCACATTCCGGGACTTGCAGCAGCAGAAAGGCAAGAAAACAAGAACTACATGACAGATACTACATGACCATCACAGCAAACGCCTCCAGTGAAAAGCCACAACAGCTCGGGGACACTCAGAAGCAAGCAGCTATTCCTAAAAGACTAGCAGCTCCAGACTCAAGCAAGTACAAACACCCACCCAGGCTGGACTCTACACAAAGCAGGCATTAGGCAAAGGCTCAAATATTATTAGCACAAAAACCGGCAGCCTCTGTAGCCAAGCCCCCGAGCAGAGGAATTTTAGATGCTTTTGACATACCTCTCAACCTGTCAGAGACTGAATGCAGGACACCAGCCCTCCAACATGAAGAAAAATTCCTCACTGCAAGTGGCTGACAGGGAAGGGGCAGAGGCAATGACTCAGAGACACATCTGAAGTGCTGATTTCATCGATGAGGGATAGAAATTGAGGCTTGGAAACACTGAGCTCTTTTTCAGAGTAATTCTGTTTTGGAGTGTTTCATTCCCCTGGATCTGGTATTCAAAAGCATTTCACTGCTTCTGCACGAAAACAGCTTCTCCTGCTCTTTTGAGTTCAGAACCTTTTGCTACTTATCTCCACCCAACCTGGAGTCACAGTCCTCCATCTGTGATACCTACAGTGTAGTTGGGAGGTCAGAAAGAAGAGGAGCCACAAGAACATGGCAAACTTGATAAAGGAACGGAGATCCCATTCCCAGGCAGCCACCTTCACAATTTAGGTGAGTGAGGAAGAGCTGGGATGAGTCCTGCAGTCTATTCTGCAGGAGACATCAGCAGCCCTGTAAAAAGGACATGGCTTGGCATCACTCAAATTGGTGAGAATTTGGCTCTAGCTTTCATGAGGAATTGAACTGAGCCTCTGAATGAAAGGACCCGACACCCAATAGGATGCAAAGCAACTTATCTCCCAGGTGCACTGTCCCGGATTCAAGCTGAGAGGTAAGCAGGTAAGCAGGCTCCTTCCCCTCCTCCTTACCTTCGCACCCGGTGGTGTAAATGCTGATGCTGCCGCGTTATAAGGGCACTTTCCCAAACAGGGCCACTGTGACTACTCCTATACCAGCTCATGGCTGGGTGCCCCGGGTAGGGTGCGCTAGCGAAGCCATGGTCCGACTCCGTCTCTGCGGCCAGCGATGAGGCAGAGCTCCCCATGGTTCCCCCCTACCCAGGCCACGCTGAGATTTATCCTAGGTTAGGTCCAAGCCAGTGGCACGGGCAGTTCGGGTGGAATAGGTGAGGCGCTGCGGCATGGACTGCTGTAAAGTTCCCAACACACTGGAGAAAGGAAGGTCGGTTCTGATCAAGAGTTGAAAAAAAAATAACAAAAAAAAACAAAAGAGGGGAAAAAAGGAAAGAAAAAGAGAAAAAGATAAGGTATGATTTAAGCAACAACCGTCCCAGTTTTAGCCTATTAATGCATGCTCTGACCAGCATCCCCAGCCCAGCACTCACTGGGATGGGAAAGGCCATTTCACTGAATCCAGCTTTTGCTGCCTGGAGATGGGGATTATGAGGGCTCTAGAAGAGGCTCTCCCTAGTTAAGAGCCAGGAGTTCCCAAGCACAGGGAAGCAGCCCAACTAGTGGAGGAAAGCACACCAGAGCCCAGCAGAAAGCCCTTGCTACAATGGTAAAGCAGCAGAAAAGGGGACAAGCAAGCCTCACTTAGAGCCCAAACCAGCAGCCCTTGGGAATCACACGCACAAAAAGGTTATTCTGAAAGCTCTGGGCTCTGACTGGCACACCAGCTTTTTATTTACCCCAGCTACAAGGAGTATGACTTGATGGCTTGTATGCGGTGAGGAAATTTTATTTTTCTTGTATGTAAAATAAAATATCCCTCTTTTCCTGTTCCCCACTAACATCACAGTAAGGCTGAAAACAGACAGACTGGGTATCTGCACAAGTACGTTTTCTGTGACTATTTCACACAGTGCAATGAAATACGTTCAGCTCAAGCCAATTTTTAGCTGATACCGAGCATACCCCACCCACAGAAGCAGGTTTGGGGCTTTGACTGTTCTTCCTTTTCTCCCTCTCTCTTTCCTACTTTTTAGAATTTATTCTTTGAGCATCCTTACAGTTAAACTACAGAAATATTTCGTGTCCTCTAGTACTCAAAGAAGTTTAAACATACACGTCTCTCCTTAAAGGAAAAAAGCACGGCAATCTGGATGCGTGTCAGGAGGAACGGATCAAGGGAACATTTAACAGACCAAAAAAGAAGAAATGAGGAAGAAGAAAAAATTAGCACAGCTGAGCTTATTCAATTACCCACCAGGATTTATAGAGATGAATGAACTACAGAAAGACCTTTGCAAAGAAACTACTTTGTGCCATAAAAAGGCTGAAATACAGTTTTTCAATCCCAGGATTGATCTAAGGGATCAAGAAAGGGCTTGATAGATTACAGACTCTCGAATGTGGCACCTCAAGGAGCAGGTGCAGTTTTGCTATGAGCTTAATACTGGAATGTGCCTGCATTAGGCCATTAGCTGGAGAATGTTAACTGCTCTGTCATGGTCTCTTCTCTGTAACCTGCAAAGCCCGGACTAACAAAATAAAACTGAAAAAAAGGCCCAAGAACACAATTTTCCATACCTCAATTTGCTTGTTTTAATTGGTGTGCCTAACTGCTGTGCATCAGCCAACACATCTCCATGCTTTGCTTCCCGCTACCTGCCCAATAGCAAGTTTTCACTGATTTTTGCAGATCCAGCCAAAGTGGATCCCTGGTGCTTCCCCTCTCATTTCCTGCTATTCAAGCAGTTAATTTGTAACAAATCTGATTTTCTGGCTAAATGAAAGCCATGTGATGTGAGGGGAAGAGCATTTCCAAGTATCATCAGCTCAAGTCTAACTGGAGACATCAGTTGTCCCACACCTGCAGCGTCTCTGCCTTTTCTGCCGCAGCCCTTCACAGCTGCCCCATCCCAAGCGCTGGACGTGCTCCAGCAGCCACACTGCACAGCAGCAGCAAAGGCACAGGGGATGCAACTAAGAGACCTGCTAGAACAAACTCTGTCTCTTACCTCAAGACTTGGGTTCTACCATGATAAAAGTAAATAAATAAAGGCAAGATGGGTAGAAACACAGCCCCGTACAGTTCACCACAGGCTGAGCAAAACAGAGGGCAGGATGCTCAGTCAGTTAATAGCCTTTTTACCCCCTCAAGCAGACCTAAACTGCCAAATAAAGCAATTCCACAGGCTGGTTCAAGACCACTTTCTCAGCTGACTCTCAAGCTGGAAAAGTAGAACCCTTTGCTTCATTCTCCTACACACGGAAACGCCAGTTTTAGCTCACCACAACAGGCGAGAGACATGCTGCCCGCATTACTGCTGGCTCCCAACGTGTTGCTTGTGTCTTGGCCCGTCCTCCTCTGCCAGGTCTGCACCAGGGAGTCTAAGCAGGCAGCTCAAAGCAAACGCTCTGCAGGGAGAGAAGAGGCTGGGAGTCCTGCTTTAAAGTGGTGCGGTAAAACTCCACAGTGGGTGGAGCTGGGGAGAGGAAGGCATCTATAAATAGGTGTAGGATAACCTAGCTAAGTCGTAGTGATCTCCAAGACTGTCTGGTCTAAGTGGGCTGCTTGCCTGCAAGTGCTGTGTGAAATCGGATTTCTCCAGGCAAAGCAGTAAATCCTTTTCTTCAGGGTCACCCCTCATACCAGGTGAGAGCAGCCAGTGAACAATATTTAGGGGGGAACATTGGCCCAAGGAGGGGAGACGGCGAACCTGTTCAGAAACAGGAGGAGTGGCAGCATTACAGCTCAATGCAAAGCATGTACGTGCTCGCCACGCTGAGCCAGAAAATGCCTTTGGCCAACACTAAACAAATTAAGAACCTGCAAGAAGTAAAGGTGAGAATGAAAACTACACTCTAGTAAGGGAAGGGGTCAATTAAAGAAGCCTACAAAGAAGAAAACCTCTCTGGAAGCACTCAGCCTTATTTTTGAGGAACTTCTCCCACTGGGCAGGGAGATGCCCCAGGAGATGCCCTGCAGGCACATTGCCCATGCTGAGCAGGAGAGGCTTCATCCATGGAAAGGGAGCAAACTGCCAAGAGTTCCTCTGCCTTGGCAGGAGGGAGCAGGATTTTCCTTCTAATTAATAAAGCACTGCTTCCACCTATCTAATCAGGAGAGGAAGCAACAATGTGAACACATTGAAGTGTCTTGAGAAGGGTGGATCTCACTCATGGAAATTAACAGTTAAGCACCTTAGCAAGATGCTGAGTTTGGGTTTTGTATTTTTGCCCGGTGCAGCTGCAATAATTACCAGGTTTCAGCTGATGTTTTTTAACTGCTCCGGAAATATTGCTTCCAAAATAAAACCAGATTTGATCTTTCCATCCCCAAGCTCAAGCTCGTACCCGCTTACCCTGATCTGTTGTACGTGATGCAGACCCTTCCTCAAATTGCCCCCCCACCACCCTGAGCAGCAGGCACTTACAGCAAGTTCAGGACAGCAAAGCTTTCCCATGGAGGTTTCTCCTGCTGCCGGGACAGCAGAGCAGTCACCTGGAAGCTTCCAGATAAACCCTATTCCTCAACAGCACTCAGCAGCGCTGACCCTTTGGGCCCCAGCTCTTCTGTCACGCCACCCAAAGCAAAGCAGGCAGGAAGGGTGGGGATCTGGGTCTGCTCAACCCCCTTTCCTTCCCTCTGGCTTCAAAGTAGGTTTTGGCTCTGAAGAGAGCAAAAAAAAGAAAAAAGGGAAGTACCCCACGTGTTTCAATGTATCTAGGAAGTTTCAGGATCAACTTTTCCTAGGAACCTCCTAGGATCAGCCCCAAGCTCTTCTCTTTGGCACGCAGTAGGAAGAAGAGACAGAGGTCCCTGGATCTGCTCCAGCCCACTGAGTAAACCAGTAAGGCAGACTCACCCCAGTTGGTCCCATGGGCAGAAGCCCCCTCCTTGTGATGGGATACCCCCCACACTCCTTTTCTTATTAATTTATTCATCCATGCAGCACAAGCCACCTCAGCTCCTGCCTGAGTCTTCCAGCCTCTCTTGGTTCTCAGCCTCCCAGGCTCAGGGACAAGACTTTGTCACTTCATTAATCCCTCCACTCCCCCAGCCTATTAAAAAAGTCACCTCTGAGCTACCCCCTTGCTGCAGGGAAGATCCAGCAATGAAAACACAGCCAACCCGCACACCAGACAGCTCTTGTCTGAGGTGCTGGGCCAGCAGCTGGCCCAGGAGAAGGCACACCATGTACCTAGGGGAAAAACATCCCTCAAAGCTGTGCCCAGAGGAAGCCACATAGCAGGAGGCTTTCTTCTAGGGCTGAAGCTGCAAGTACCAGCCCTTCTCCTCCCTGTGCTATGTGAACTCTGCTGTCTGGGGGCTGGCTAAAATGGGTTGGGACCTGCTACCCCCTCAGCAGTAAAGGAGGAGCTCTCTGCTCTCACTCACATGCAGCCTGCTGCTTGCAGGGAGAAATAAGGGTTCCTGAAGAGCGTTGAATGTCCAGTCCCCACACACAGCCCTGGCAGGAGCAGCCTCCTCTCTGGGGACTGCAGGATGTGACTCACACATCCTTAAACACAAACTAGTTCAGGGGCAAATGAGTGCAGCTGAAGGAGCTGTGGCTGACTTAGGGCATCAAGCTGGAGGAGGCCACTTCATACACCATGAACATGGCCAACCCTTGGCCCTCTACCAGTCTTGCCACCATGCACAGCAGGAGATCTCCCCATGTACCACCGAAGGAGGTGCATGCTCACAGGGTCCAGGGTAATCAGCAAACAGTGTGCAGGGACGGGTAAGGTACACAGAATGAGACATGTCAGAGTAAGAAGGTTATAAAGTCACAATGTCGGCATAAGAAGGTTATAAAGCCACAGAGGTGGTCAGGCATGGGATAACTAAAGAAGGATGCAGAGTGGAGACCTGATGGTGTGTCATGCCAACCAAGCAAGGAAAAGAAGCTCAAGTGTTTGTGTGCACAGCAAAGTGATACACAGCCAGGCTCCCAGCTCCACAAGGCAGGGTGGCAGAACCTGAGGACGTGCAAAGCCCGGTACTGGCACCAAGCAGAGCGTGACTTGTATTCACCAGGCTGAGAAGACCCTGATAAAAGAAATAACCCCAGGGGAGGAAAAGTGAACAATCTCTCTTCTTCCACAAGGCAGGGGGGAAAGAACAGACAAGCAACAAGACATCCACCTCAGACAGATGCAGTACAGACTGAAATCCAAGATGCTAAACACCGACCCAATGAGAGCTCTACAGCTCAAGTGCAGCAAGAGCTCCCGTGATCACCTGCTGGATCTCTGTTGCAAAGCAGTCAAGCAAACTGGAATGCTCCATTTTGAGCAGGTGACTTGCACGAAGCTGGTGTCTTGGTGACAAGAAACAAAGTTTTGCTGCTCTTTCTTCCTGCCCTCACCTGCCAAGCCAGCACTACAAGGCAGCCAGAGCGCTGCAGTCTTGGCAGGAGATTAAGGTGTCAGCAAGCTCCAGTTCCTTGCAAAACTTCTGGCAGGGAGGGGTGGGAAGGTACCTCCAAGGACAGACTGAGGCATAGGTATAACAGGAAGGACGGGCCAGTGGTTGACACACCCAGCTGGGACATGGCAGGCTTTTTCAACCCTCATGCTCTACCACAGAGCTTCCCGTGTGACTCGGGGCATAGTCCTCTGACTCAGAAAGCACAGCCTTACCTCCTAGGGCCAAGAAGTCTTCAGGTTCGCAAGGCACTAGGACGACAGGCAGTGCACCAGCACCACAAATGGGAGGACAGGGAAAATGGAGAAAAGGGTAAAACTTACCCACCCAAGTGTTTGTTATGGGGCAGGAGGGCTGAGAGAAGAGAGGCGAGTCAGGTATTCTGGCCTTAGAGGAAGTCTAGGGGCCTGGAAGCTGCCAATGAGCTATTTTCCAAATCACAGCGAGAAACAAGATTGGTGCACTACTTGCAGAGATATCACTAGATGAAATTAGCTGCCTGGAAACAGATTTCCAGATGGGCTTTTAATGAGGTAACAAGATAATTTAACCTGGAGTCCTAGAGCAGCACAGAACAGGACCTCACGCTTCATGCTACACTTTAGCAAAGTCCAGAACAGCAGCACATCTTTCTGGTCACGGACATTAACATGCAAAGGCAAGCTAGAGTATCTTTACCTTCTTTCGGCTGCCTTGAAACTGGTTCTGGCCCAACTTTAACACAGAAGAAACTCATGCACAGCAGCTGAGTTGGGCTGAGCTGCATTTAATGCCCAGCACTGACTCTTCATAAGTATGCAGGCAGAGGAAGAAGTGTTCAAAGCCTGAAGCGAAAGATTGATATGAGAAGTAGATTTATTCTAGAGTCAGCTTAGCCACAAAGCAACTAGCGTCAAAGTCTGAAAAAAGTTTCTTCTTCTCCCTTGCACGTCTAACCAGTGACAGATTATCCAGTGAGCTACTGGAAATCTATCACGGTCACTTTGAGAGAGGGGATTATACAGATTTGAAAGGGCAATCAACATCTTAATTACAAGCTACAGGGAGAAAGAGGGAGAAGCAGTAGACAGGAAGGTTTCTTCAAAATAAGGGTTAACTTCAAAACCCATCTCCATTGACAACTGAAGAGCAGGAAGGTCCTTTTCTGAGTAAGCATGAAAATGGCAACAAAAGCTCTGCAAAAGAATGGTCTGAATGCACACACACTTAAAAAAAAAACAAAAACAAAAAAAACGCACCAAAAACCACAACCAAATCTCTGAAACCCTAATGCTCTATTAAGTCAATTAACACTGCTTCAATGAAGTGACATGAGCTGCTTGTATCCTCCAGTTTACTAGCCAATTGTGGCTGACTTTTCAGTGCAGTGTTAACAAAGCGTGTGTGGGCTGGCATGGTTCATCTCATTAGCAACATCGCGGTAATGCCACAAAAAGAAAGACAAGGGGAATAAACAAAACAAGACAAGCCACAGCATCCAATCTTGGGAAGCTTTGCCAGCGGATCTAATTTCCAGATCTTTTCCTCCCTGTATTTATAATCCTTGTAACAGAGTTCTGTCATCCTACTCAGCCCACAGACTGCCCCAGCTACAAAAGATGCCAGGCTGAAAAATCACCTCGACAGACTGCCTGCTGAGACCAGTTGCATTATACAAACAGGAAGCTTTTACTTGCCTGCTACCAATATGCTATAGATTTAATGGGAAGTAGCATAAGCAGGGATGCTTTGCAGGAAGAACACAGACACGGGACTCTTGCCAGGAAAAATGCATCTTGAGTAACACATGTGCTCTTAGTTTCCTCTTTTTTTCAGGAAGGTTTAACTACACTCTGGGTTACCCAGCAGCAATAAACCATTTTTTTTCTCCTTTCTCACTTATAGCAGAGTGTTGATTGGTAAACAGCAGATCTTCCTGTCTGAGGCTGTGCCAGCCTGTGCAGAACAGAACTGTTGTTATTGCACATTCACAGCTAGAGATAAACATGAATAAGAGCCACGAGTGAAGAGCCAGTGCCTGGCTCTTCAATACATTGCTTTATCAGGTTCACCTTGATTCAACTGTTTCTGACAACATCTCTCCCTCCTGAAGGGGCAAGATGGCACAAGTAGCAAGGACAAACATTAAAAAAAGAAGACAGAAGTGACAGTAGCGCAAAAAGTGCTCTTTTGTACTTGCTAACATTCACAAACTGGGCAGCTCAGAACTCCACCTGCACTTAAAACACTCAAAAGCACAACACAGAAATAAATGGGCCCACCAAAACCAACCTCCCAAAAAGAAGCAATGGAAAAACAAAGTAGCTTTCAACACATTTCTCAGGAAAAAATCTGCATCGAGAGCCATGACTGGTGCAGGACATAAAGGTTACAGCGAACCAGGGAAGGAAAAAAATTTGCAAGTCATCTCTCATCTGCAAGATGACACCCTGCAGTGGCACAAGTACAATAAACCAGCCCAAGAAAACTGGATACTGGAAGTCAGAGGAGGGTTTCTAACCTTTCAAAGAGCAGATCTCTGGACCAGCTGCTCCAGAGGCACTGGGGAAAAAAAGCACAGAGTTAGTTCCAACAATTCGTTCCTGGACAAATTCATGACCTGCACAAGATGACTGTCTTCAGCAGTAGGGAGCTGGACTTGATGACCCATAAAGTTCCTCCCAATCACTCAGCAAGCTGAATTTATAGTGGGCCATAGGTGCCCAAGCATAGCACAAACATGAGGTCATACCCGAAAGGACATCAGGGATTGTATCTTCAGATCATGCTAAGCTGACAGGTAAGCAGATGAAGAGCTGGCCACTGCAGAAGGGAGGGGAAGAGAGTTGCAGCAAGAAGTGGAGTCTCACAGCCAGTGAAAACCCACAGCACACACTTGGAAAGCAAAGTCTCAGAGACAGGAGGTGGAGAAGATGTCCCCTGAGCACACTGTCCACAGACACTCCAGCCACAGCTTTAATTCTAACATGGATTAGACAGACAGTAAATATGTAATTCATCCAAGCCACATCCAGCTGTATCCCATGCTAGAGACAGCTCCTAGTCTCCACCGTACTGCCCCGTCCAGAGCCATAAGGGCTCTTTTCACAGGGGCAGCAGTACCTCGGTGCCTCCTTCTGCCATCTGTATGCAGTTTGGACTTTCTGGACACCATGTCCCAGTTTCCAACCAATTGGCCTAGATTTAAACCACCATGTCTCTGGCTGTGCCTCAGGCAAACACAGAGGTAGGATACACCTGACAGACAACAGTGGCATTTGGCACTTCCATAAGAAACAACCAGGAGATGAAAGCATAAGAAACACCAAGAACTGCACAAGAGGCTGCTGACTTCTCTGTAAGCACAGGGAACCAGGACACCACAGGGGAGGTGGGACAGGGAGAATGAAACCCAGGAGGCAAGAAGATAGTTCCTCTTCTAGCACAGCTCCGTGCTATAACCTAATGGAGAAGCATCACATTACTGCTCACCCCTCTCCACCTCCAGATTACACACGTACTCTGTCCAGGGCTATCCTGAAAAACAAATTAATCCTTCTGCACACTGATGTCATAGCCATGCCATTATTTCTGTTAGGAGACAATATTGTAATTGAGATTATATGACTGGAATAATACCTGGTACAACTGAAGTGACAGAGATATAACAGTGCCTGACACCACTGTGATACTCCCCTTTCCTCACCAGAGTAGCTATACTGGCTTACTGTCTCCATCACAAGCAGCTTTAGCTACACCAATACAGCTGAAACTGTAGGATGTGTTCAATTAGACAACGCCTTAAGCAATATTTGCCCATGAGAGCAGTTATTTGAACAAATATAATGATCACATGAGGAAAATGCTATACTCTTAAGATGAGAGGGCTGAAACATAATGCAGATGCTTTGAGTAAGAAGCTGCCTTTGCTACAGCAAAGCCAGCCCTAACGGACCATCCAACACACCTCCCTGCACAGTGATGGAGCTGGTCTCTTAACCAAGACCAGCTGGCTGCATCCTAAACCCATGTTAACCCAAAGAGGCAGATGGAGAGGAGATCATGTTACAGGAGTCACTCTCAAATGCCTTGCAAGACATATCCAGCTGCCTTAGCCTCATGTGGTGATACAGAACCCCAACCTGCCCTCCACCAGGCTCTGCTTGCTAAAGCACCTTGCATGGCAAGGTCAGGCAACAGGAACAAGGGCTTTGCACACCTGCAGCAGCATTCACAAGACACTCCGAGGCTGTATCAAAACTGATCCAAGAGCACAAATGCTACTTCATCCCTCCCACAGTTGAGAACTAGCCATGGTGCAGACCTCAGCCAACTACTGCCTGGTGACAGTCACCACTCAAAGACCAGAGTGCTCACGGCCTGGCTTCATTGACCCCAAACTGTAGGAGATTCCTGCAGAGCTTCTGCTGAGGCTGGACACCAAAGTCACATGGAGACTCCAGCTAGCCCATATGCATCCAGGCAGACCAGATCGGCCAACACACAGCACGCTAGCATCCATTCCATTAACCCAAAGCCCTGGCCTGGATAAGGCCACATCAGCCTGGCTCATCTGAACACAAGGACAACGCCATCAGACACTCTCCTGCAGCAGACACTGCAAGCATATCCCGAAGGTACAAGCTCAGACTGGCTTCCCACCACCTCATCTGTCTCTGCAGAGCAGGGTCTGAATTGCCAGGCTGAAAGCAGCCCAGCCACCTAAGGTACAACACAGTCATCTCTCTGTCCCAGTCCCGGGCTGGGAACTGGCACAGCATTGCGGTTATTGCAGGCAAAGCAATGCAGAGTTTCTTAGATTAATTTATTTCCCTGCCCTTGCTCTGCCTCACGCACCCGGGGACAGTCATGCAGTTTTCACGGCTTAAGATTGCAAGGTCCTGGAAGACCCCACATTTTCTCTTCCGCCCCTACAGTTTCTTCTTCACCATAAGAAAACCAGGAGATGCCAGTATCCCCACCCATAAGAGTACATGGCCTTAACACAGACAGTAAGAGAGGGCAACACTCAAAGAAGGAATCAAAACAAGGAAGAAAGACAAGAACGAGAGGCGTGGGAGACAAGAAGTGGGGTAACCGTGCTTACAAACCAGAGGAGAAAAGGTCTTTCAGCCCCTCCCAGCCCATCACAGAGCGAAGTGCAGTCAGAAAAGCCTCTCACCCAACACAGTTTCTGCTCTGCAGGTCCAATGCCCAGTTGGTGTGAACTCAGCCTGGTGTCCCTGGAATCGAACGGCTGCTGTTGGCACCAGCTGAGCAGCCCGGTTGGAGAAGCATGCTAGATGGTCTCTGCACAGAGCTGCTGGTAGCACACCAAGCCTGCTAGAAGGAGCGGCTGCTGCACCAAGCTGGCGAACAGAGAGGAAAGAAAGGCACATAAGGATAAATGGCTGGTGAGACTCTGGGCTGATCAGCATCGCACCAGCACATGCAACCAACCTCACATTTTAGGTCAGTCAATCAGCATCCACTCGAACTACAGCTCTCAGAAGGCTCTGTGCTTCCTGCTGCATCTGGCTGGCAATGAGCTGGAGCTTGGTCCCGCCTGGAGACAGGAACCGGCCTGCTTTTGGGTCAACTCAGATTCTTCACTCGTGATTTCAGAACCTTTGGCGGTGACTTTATATTTCTGTTCCCACCACTGGCCTTAGTCTCTCTGACGGCGGCTGCTGCTTAGCATTCTGGTGAGAGCTGTCGTCGTACCAGGTAATGTAACACCTCACGAGCACAGCAGGATCTTAACAATAAGGATTCTGGACAGCTCTCGACAATTAGCAACAGGGCAGGATCTCCCAAGGGGTCTGGATGCGAACGTAGGGATGTCTGGAGGGGCACACTGCCTGAATGTTGAAATACAGAAACAGATGTTAATTACTTTGCATGACCAGGACATCGTTAGCAGTTACATCTACTGGAAATTCAAAAGTACAAATTCCTCTGATTATGTCAAACATGCCCATCCCACCCCAAGAAGGCATGATGTTTGAATACCTGCCTCGACAAACCTCCCTCCCCCAAGACATTTCCTCTTCCTCCTTCATAATCTCTGCTCTCAAAACAACCCATTTAATGAAATTCATACTCTGTGAAAGTGCTGTCTCCTTTGGGATGGGCTTTTATCAGATGGAGGCAACAAGAACCCTTGTCCATAACTGTTTGGCTCACCAGCACACTCTCACTTTCTCTATCTTGGATCAGAGAGAGAGCAAAAAAGCAAATGAGAATTCAGCCAGAACAATGTGATCATTGAGGCGCTTTGGGAGCACGGCAGAAGCATGCAAGAGCAACGACCCAGTTCTGCCCCCACCACCTTGTCCACTCTCCCCACAGCCACACCACCAGGTGCAGCAGGATGCCCCTGGGGTAGGTTATGGTGAATTCACAAAGAGCTTTTGTCTTCCAGCACTCTGCACCAATGAGATTTTGAGGCACTGGGGAAAAGATGACCTGTAGTGAACACCCAGATATGTGCTGCTAATTGAGTCAAACCAGCAAATGCAGAATGTTATGGAGTGGGCAAGAGACACCACGCGGGGACCAGTAAAAAGTAAATACGGGACTCATTGAGGTTCAAAAGGACCACTCTGATCCTTTTAGCCCAAGGGTCTGTACAGCACTGGCTACATAGGGAACTCCAGGCCCACAACATCTCCAAGGCACTAGGACAGTTGAGCGGCTCGTGCTCACTGGAAAGGCTTAAGGCTTAGGAGAGCTAAAGAGAGAGCGAGACAAACACCAGAGGATGGAGTACCCCGCAAATGCCTACGTCAGTCTATGTGACACCACATCATTTTTCTTGCAGGAGATGTGCTTCCATACACATGGGCTAGAAAGAGAAACCACTTAACAACCAGCAGCTTAAAACAAAACCTTTTGGCTGTGCTGAAATTCTAAGGACTGCCCGAGCTCTGCCTGCTGGCCTGAGTCTTGCAGGCAGGTGACCGATACGGACAAGTTGGAGAGCAAGACCTTGACCACATCAGTACTGCAGCCTCTCTGGAGAGCAGAGCTGCCACAGAGCGGGAGGAGACAGCCCAGCACGCAAGGACCCTCGTGCTGTGTTCCCACTTCCACGGACCAGCACAAATACGGGGGAGTTAACTTGTTACCCGGCAAAGCTGTCTGAAAGTTAGCTTCTCTGCAAACCTCTTTGTTACAGGAGCAGAAGGACCTTCTGCTGCCAGAGGAACACAACACAAGTTGGGAAGCTGCCTGTGATACCCTCAGTAAACCAAAGTCATCTGGGCTGGTGCTGGGAACAAGATGCTGAAGGGAAAACTTCAGTGCTGCAGGAAGTGCCACGTTAGAAATGCAGCTGGACAATATCACCAGAGGGGGACGACACTTTTTTGTAAGGTCTCAGTCTCTATTTTACCAAAGCAAATGTGTATTGATAACCCTGCAGCTTTGGTAAGGGCTGCTAATCCCAGGAGTGGGGCGAGACACCAGCTTGGCCTCCCTGACACAGTGCAATAGCCACCCTCCTCTAATGCTGACGCTGTTCAGGCCCACAGCATTTAGTGAGCGCCCTGGCTTGCTACAAAAGGGGCTGCATTGCAGGAACAGAAAAGCTATTTCTTTTTTTATGAACACACATTAGAGTTTACACCATTGGCAAAGTGCAGAGGCATGCATTTGTAGAGGAACAGAGAAATGGTGCCAATACTGTTTTTAATGTGCAAGCCTAAAGACTCAGCTTCAGTTTTTAGAAATCAAACTTGATCATCTCAAGCTGGCAAAAATAGCCCCGTGTTCCCTCAAGTTATTTTCTTTTCAACTAGGCAGGGTACAGCACAATAGGAAATATCAGCAGTAATGTACTCAACCTCCAGAAACCCAAAGGGCCAATTCTAGCAACCCACGGCAGCTTTCCAATCCTCCCTGATCTATTTGCTGGAGTTAGACTGAAAATCATGCTGCCCCCAAGCCATTCAGCAAACTCCACGTCCCGCTAATTACATCAATATAAATGTATTATCTCGGCTGTCAAACATTGGCTGCCTGAACAGGACTACGCTCTGCAATGTAAATGCAGGAAAACAATTGCTCTTTCTGCTGGTGACACATTTCTTTGGCTCTTATTTCCTTTCCAGGGCTCCCCCTTCCTTCTGCCCAGGCACCAGGGCAGCAGCATTTTTTTCCAGAGCAAGAGCAAGAGGAAACAGCACACAAAACCCCTCCTCATCTTTTAAGCAGCCAAATGAGCAAATTTTGGGAACATCACCAGCATTTCCTATCAGGCAACCTGAGAGCTGCCAAGGCATGGGGAAGGGAGCTGTGAAGGCAAGAGTTAAAAGTTTCTCCTGCGCAGGCAACAGCCCTTCTGCCTCCCTTGGCTTCCTCAGCTGCCATTGCTAAATACAAGGCAAGCATCAACACTCCAAATAGCAATGACAGTGCAACAGAAATTCAGTAGCAGCCTGCTCCTCCCTGCCCAGCGTGGTGACGGTGGCCTGGAAAGGGCTGCATACTCAGACAGGGTCCAACTGCAACCGCAAGGTTGAGGCAAATGCAGGCAGATCCAGGAGGCTTCTGGGGAGCAGGCAGACAGCACGTCTCGCTCTGAAGAGTGGGATTATGATGGAAAATGAGGAGGAAGCCACTGACTCACCTGTCCCACCCGCATAAGCAGCTTTCCCAAGGCTGCACTGTATATGACCTTTCTCAGAGCCCCAAGTTCCAGCAAATCGGCTGTGCACAAGTTTCTTCCCAGCACTGTGTGCTAGGAGACAGCCATCTCAGCAGGACACAGCGCTCTGATACGCACTTTCCAAATCAGCCTCCTCTCTCCCTGCCCCCAGGTCTGACTGCAGGCAGCCACAGCCCTTCGGTCCAGCCTCCCCCTGTTTTGTAAAGACCCTCACTTGAAGAAATGCCACAGGATCCTTCCCAGACCCCTCTGCTCACAGAAAAGGTCACAATGAACCCAGATACGAACAAAAACCTGGCTTCTGACGAAGCGGGAAGATGGGAGGAAAAAAAGCATTCCTCCCACTTGCATCTCACCTGAGAGCAGATGACATTCCCACCAGCAGAGATCAGCACAGCCATGTCCGCACACGCCGGCCTGGGGACTGGCTGGGTCTCTCTCTAGGTCTCACGTGCAACCGCTGCAAACTTGGCAAGCTCCCACAAAACCTCAGGGACAGATAAAAGCAGCGTATTTTCCACAAGATAAAGCCAATCGCGCTCAGCTGGCTGAGGCAACACCAGGGCCCAGGCCATTTCCTTCTGCAAAGCTAGTGGTATTCAGAGAAAAGATAAAGGGTGCCCTGTGGACAGCCCAGGAGAGCGGCGGGGTAATCAGTGCATCTCACGAGGGCATCCAGGCCCCTCCACAGGGTCACCCAGCCCTTCCGCTACCATGAGACAGCTCCAAGTCTGGACAGGACGCCTGACCTTTTATAAGTGCAACTTTAGCAGTTTTGTTTTGTTTTTCAATACTTATTCCGATTCAAAAGACATTATGCCTGGCCTACGCCTTGGGTTCCCTTACGCAGCAAGTCATCAGGCTCAAGGAGGCTGCTTGCTTTCCTGCCAAAGTAATATGGCTTAGCCAACACAGCAAGTCACATCAAACCTTCAAAGGCCTCTCCAGCCCTCCAACCCCACCCGGGGAAGGGAGCAATGTTGGGTCTTGCCTTCTGCCTTCAACTGTTAAAGCCTTGGACACAAACAGAAGCTGATGCAACTTTAAACTAGTTAATATCACCACGTACATAAAATCATGGCAATTTGAATCATGCCTGTCTGACACATGTTGTGCTACCGCAGCTTGTTCCTCAGGCAGAGCTCAGTCCTGCTCTGGTTCACTCACGGGAACAAGCCAGTCTGTTCAGCAGCGGGTCTCAAGAAATGGCCACACAAAAGCCACCGGCAGACTTGCAGCATCACAGGAGGCCGATCTGCCATTGGGCCACCCTCCCACCGCAGGTCTGCTCCAGTCTAGGAGAGGTGGCAGCTCACACAGTGTACAGCCTTGAAGCACAAGTCCCTACAAGTCCCAGGTGACAATGTACAAAGTATGGCAAGATCTCTGTGTTCAGATTGACAAGGGCTACAGTCTGGGACCTGCAGCCTATCTCCATCAGCCAGCGGTTGCGACCTGCACCACTCATCTCCACCTCGGCTCCCTCTAAACACATCTCCTGGTCTCTATTACCTCCTGACTGACCCACAGCAGCGCACCACTGTCCATGCACGAACACCCCAGGCCATGTACAGTAAGCGCTTCTCAGATAACCTTCTGTCCGACCATGAAAAACCACCCATCCGCATCCTGGGCCTGAAGGCCTACGGGACGCTGAGCACCAGCTGAGATTTCGATCTGAAAAACCGCTTGGACGAGACAATATGACATTTCAAACACAACGCGCACGTTATTTGATCTCCCCCAACAGCTCACCAGATGATCATCCCAAAACATTTGTTTCTTGATGCTTGGGAGGGAAAGGATGTAGCCCAGAAGCAGGCGCAGGGAGGGGAGAGGAGAGCTACTCAGAAAATGGAGAGGCTAGCCAGCATACAGAGCCTTTTCCATCCACTGTAACAGACTTCTGCATCCAGCATCTGGAGGCTGACTTGCTTACAACTGCAGCTGAGCTGACGTGCAGTAAAATCCAGGGGTCTCGATGAGGCACTGGGGCCCGAAGCAGCCTAGGATGCTTCAAAGACCCAAGCATAAGAGCCAGCCAAGCGATTCTAAAGGGCAAACTCACAAATGCTTTAGAAACTCTGCACAAAACCCAGCTTAGCCCCCAGCAGACGGGTTTCTAACCCGGAGGTTAGAGTGCAGACCTGAAGGACAGGCGTCCCTGGTTCTCTCGGGGGCTCTGCCGTGGTCCAGCCCCTGAGCCGGCACTCAGCAGTACCGTGCCCGTTCACTACCATAAGCGAGGCTTACCTGCCCGAGAGGAGAACCGGGAGGTTCGATCTCCCTGTACCGAGACCAGAGCGCACTGCAAGGGCTCGGCGCAGGCAGGTAAGGCGTTGCAGCACGGGCATTCACGAAGCCTCTCCCGTCTCCCCGCTGCTGCTGCACGACTCCCGAGTTCGTTAAAACCCCGTCGGGGCTGAGGTACGAGGAGGGCAGCCGCAGCCTCAGGTCACCTCGCAAACCCCGGGTAAGGCACCCCAACAGCCGCAGACCCCCGAGGCGGGATTCCCGGCTTGCCCCAGCAGCGGGACCCCGACACCGGCCCCCCTCCCCGCCCCTCCC